TCACGCAATTGCACACAATCAAACAACAGGATGAAATAAGGTGATACCAATAAAATCTAATGTAACAGAGTGGTGGGAAAGAGAGATAGCGGAAACTTCATTTATTGAATTAGCTGCAAACATGTGTAACAAAAATGAAAACAAAGCACGTAGTTCAGCAAAGAGTCTTTGTTCGGCGAATTCATTTTCTCAGCTGTACAATCCCAAATATATATGCGTTATTTTGTATGTATGTGTACACTAAGTTTGTCGAAGGAAATTACAATTGGTTTTGGTTATTTTAACTAAACACGTGAAAGTTGGTAATTGGAGTTACGTAATACAAAATCGGTCAAGAAAATAGGGAGTTAATGAAATTAGGGTAGTAACAAAGGTGGTGAGCTGTCACAAACAGTTGTTAAAAAGAAGTTATGCAATAATATGAATAGTTTGATGATTGCGTTTTAGTCAGGATACACGTAGAAACAAAGTATAGAATGCGAAATTACGTAAGAGTTCTAAATGAATGTAAGAATTATAAGCAATTAAAGAAACAGGCGAACAGAAAAAATTAAGTCATTAAAAATCAACAAAGTTGTTACCATGACAGTACAAGTGGTTGAGTAATTCTCTTTCGTATACACAGCTCCGGCTTTTCTGCGTGAATGGCCAGAGATTCAGTGACACAAAGAAGACGAAACCGTATTGCATATGATAGGTTATTTTTGACTGTATAGATTACTTTGGAAGGGGCATTTTTTGAAATGGAATGATCAATGTTAACTAGGTGTTCACTTGTCGCACTCCTTATTGCACCACTGTTGGCTTTTCGCAGCCATGCTGGATGGTGTTCTTGAATCCTCTTGGACAGGTTGTGTGTCGAACGACCGATGTACTTGACTCCACAGCAGCAGGTGAACTGATATATGCACAGGGAAGTGGTCAGATAAGAGATCTTGTCCTTGAGGCTTCTGCAGATCAGTGAGTGACTGGAGAACACTAATCTTAGCGTTGCCGAAAAGAATGCTCTTTTTAATAGCTGTTTGTGACAACTACCCTAATTTCATTAACTCCCTATTTTCTTGACCGATTTTGTATTACGTAACTCCAATTACCAACTTTCACGTGTTTAGTTAAAATAACCAAAACCAATTGTAATTTCCTTCGACAAACTTAGTGTACACATACATACAAAATAACGCATATATATTTGGGATTGTACAGCTGAGAAAATGAATTCGCCGAACAAAGACTCTTTGCTGAACTACGTGCTTTGTTTTCACTGATGCCTGGATTGGGATCATCCATGAATTAAAGCTTAACAAAAATGATTCAACACCTATCCAGCCGGACATCTGCAAAATTCCACTACCCCTTTGACAAATGGGAAGGAGTAAGGAAAACTATAAGATGGAAGTTTCGAAGATGTGTAATTATAACTGTAATCATTATGAATGATTATTATTTTTCACTATGTGATATATTTAATAAACAAATTGTTATAGAAGTAGTCTTTTTCTATCTTTTGAGTACATGTATGGGAATTCCTCACACTCTTATTCGACAAAGAAAAAATCTGGGAGATTATGCATTGAGTTCTTCGACATAATATCTGTCTATAAGAATTTGTTTCTAATGTTAATGGACTGTTTGTCATACTGGAACAGATTGCTATGGATGGTTTCGTGAATGTGTATAGCTTCACGTACTTTACATATCACGTAGTCACGAAAATCTACAAAATTTGGGAAATAATTTGTATTTATACTTTTGAAATCGACAGATGTGTGCGCGTATGTGTAAGACATTATGCGGTATATCAAATATAAATCTCAATACCAATACTCAATGACTAGGTTCACATACGATTATAATTCTGCAAAATAGCTGTACTTTCAACTGCAGTGCTGATCTGACGACACAATACTGCAGATAACAACAGCATTTGTGAAGAAAAAAATGGTGAAGCAAGCCGATGAATAATGAAAGAGTTAAAATCATGGCTTCTGTAGCCACATGTTGATGTGATGTGAGACAAACTGATTTTCAATTACAACTTCAGGTGAAGTAGCAGGTGTACGATGCTGTAGAATCTCAAATACGATTAAAACCTCGATTTACTTAATCACTGCTTTTCGCTGTTAATTAGACAATAATGAAAAAAAACAGATTATTTTCAAACCACCCTCCCTTTTGCGGATTATAGTACAGTTATTAGAAATTATTTAAATACTTTACGTACTATTGCATACTTATATTTTACTACTTTAAATAAGTGAGAAGTAAAGTTTCAAACAGATGAAATACCAAACTGACATGCATTGAAAATAACAGATTCACTTTCCATGAAAAAATCATACAATTAAATTGATGGTTTTGTGATGGGTAGTCCTCTGGGTTCTTAATAGCAGACTTATATGTCTAAATTGAAGGAAGAATTGGAAGGTGTGCTATTGTAACAACAGAAGCTAGGACACGGAAACCAAGGTATTTTTTCAAGTGATCAAACCTATATATATATATATATATAATATTTTGTAACCATTCTTTGAGTGTGTGATTTTGGCCTACATTAAACGACATGAAATAGAATGTTCAAATACATATATCGTATTCTGTCGCTAATGCAGTCTTGACTGTGGGAATATGTGAGAATAATATTCCGTTGGAACACACTGTCTGTTTCACACCATCACACTATGAGAATTTACGCCATATAAACCTTATATGGATGATAAGCTTATTATTGGTGAAAATAGTGAGTCGACTGAAAACTCCATTGCTCCGTTTATTGGTATTCATCCAATTATTAGAATGAACTCAGAAGTCGAATAGAATAATAAACTGGGTTTCTTGTGTATTTTAATGACTAGGAGAAACGACGGAACAATTAAGTGATACATATTTCGCAACAGACGTGGAGTGGACTTTATTTCACCAGTTTTGTCCCCATCCAGTTTAAACGTCCCCTAGTGAAATGCCTGTTTTCAAGGGCTTGTAAAATTTACACGAGCGATACATTATTCCATAACCTGTGGAACATATATCAAGTTTTATTAACTAATGGTTATGTCACAGTAAGAAGAGACAGCTTCCGTACCAAGAAAGCTATCTTTTTTAAACTGCCACTCAAGGTGAACCAATTATTCGACTGATAGCTCAAGTGCTTCTGTCAGCCATGAAGCGCACATTATATGGTGCACCTCTTTTCCTTACATCTCGACCTTTTTCGACTTCTGCACCTATCACTAAATGACAAAATTCTATGAATTCTACTTCACACTTTATCTACAAATTCACCTACAGTTGTTGTGACACATGAATTAATAGAGCCAACAGAATGTGTCATTGTCGTGGAGAAGAACATGTTAATAAACGGCCATTAATTCACTTAGAAAACCCAAATGTACTTATAACTCCATCATGAATAAGATTTTATTTTGATAAATCACACAATGTTGTACCATAATATTAACTCACTCAGAGACAAGTTCTGTAGGCTAAAGGATCCGGTGGACTCAGTTAAACAAAATAATATGATTTACAAAATACCTTGCAATGACTGTGAGTTAAGTCAACTACATAGGTCAAACTAGTCGATCAGAGTTAGTCAGATTATCAGAACATAAGAATTTAGCCAAGGTTAGAATGATTGATCCCACGAAGATAAGTAATTTTGAGAAAAGCTCAGCACTACATTGCACTGCATGCATTAACACATAACCACTCAATAAGGTGGGACAGAGTCAAAATTCTAGAGAGTTATATAAGTAGGTGAAGAGATTGATCCATTACTGAATCCCGGTCTATCCAATCTACACCCAACACATGCAACAGAAATGACTCAAAGCAAATACCAGAGATATGCAAGATATTATTACCAGTCAAATTAGTGGGGGATAATAAATAATCTTAAAATTCTATTTCAATTTACGTTATAACATTCTAACAAGTGACTTATTTTTACTGTAAAAAACATCTTATTCCCATCTGATTGTATTTGGTTGATAACACTAATATTATTTCCGAATGTACATAATCGTATATTGATTTTATTCAAATGCCTAGTCAATTTTTACTCATGTATATAAATGAAACAAGAAAGTTGTGTGAGTGACTTGATATGATTATGAACTATAATTTATGCTCGAAACGTCAACAATTAATATTACTGTACAACACTGTGTGATCTATCAAAATAAAATTTTTATCCATAATGAAGTTATACTTTTGCAATTAATAGTGTTTTCTGAGCTGGTTGGTTTAGTTGCGGAGCTTTTGTCGTCTTTCTGGACGACATCTTCAGCGCAGTATTTAGCATAAGTTATACTTTACCGCAGTGCTCAAGTTTTATACTGATAGCAATTGTACTTAATGTAAGTAGGAATCCAACACCAACCATTTCAAAGTGTTAATTGATGTTAGGTCACAAAGTCGATGTTAATAACTTGTCAGCTGTTTCACATAACTCTAGTTAAATGTTATTACAGGTGATGAAAGCGCTTAGATTAATCACATGCACTCCAAACCAAGTGTACTTCACCCTTTGCTTACCATGGTATACTTCACTTACTAAAATATGATAATTTATTAGTATATAACAGTTAGCAGATTTTATTTTATTATCGCTAGCCATACTGTGGTGGTGTGACACAGACAATTTGTGCCAACGGGATATGATTCTCACATACTTCCACAGTTCAATTCGGCATTACCAACAGAATACGATGTATCTATTTGAACATTCTATTTCATGTCGTTTAATGTAAACCGAAATCACACACTAAATGATTGGTTAAAGAATATAAACTGTATAGATATAAATAGCTTTTTGATCAATGGAAAATATACCTTGGCTTCTGTGACTTGTCTTCTGTTGTTACAATGATAGTCATAAAGGGATTGTAGAGAAAAATGATGTTTTTATTCTTAGTGCTTCAATTAAACAAATTGCAAAAATATTACTCAGCATACCTCCGAGTAAACACATTTTTTCATTAAAGTACTATTCTTTTCACTAGATTCATAAGGATGATTTCGAAAAACATTTGAGTTTCTTCGAAAATTCAACGACACAAGAATTGGGAGAGGTTAGTATTTTTGTTAACAAATGCTCAAACATTTTTTTATTTCAAAATATGCTACAGCAGTTACAGCAATGAGATCCAGTGAGTAGTAAAAGCTCACAACACTTGCATAAAGTTTAATTTTAAAATTTCGGTTTTTATTTAGTCGATTATTTGTTGTGATTGCACTTCCTTGATATTCACCTCTTAGTATCACAGGACAAATGTTGTGTGGTGGAATGTAAATTTAACGCATTTGTGAGTTGCTATGGTGCTGCTTTGTTATTATTTAGCAAACAAAGTTTTCAGATTCATACACTAAAGTTCTGTTCGTAAACATCTCGGTGAAATTCAAACAAATAATTCAGATATTTTTAAAAACTTATATTTGTAAAATCTCATCGATATAGAAATGAGTAACTCCAACGTTTCATTCGGCAATCTGGTTCGAACTTCTTCAGGGAAATTAATCGAAATTAACATAACAGAGGTTTATATATAAAAGGAACATTTCTTATTTTTAAAAACATGGTCCAATCATGAGTCATAAAACAAGTATTAACAAGTATAATAAACAAAATTGTACGAGTTGTGATCAAAATTTGACCTCAGACTTACAAATATTGGTCTACTTTTAATTGGTGGATGGTGACTAGCAGTGGAATCCAGAATGCGCATTTCGTCCCATTTGGGACTCGTCAGCTGGCTGTACCTGCATTTCTCAGTGAGTGGTGATGTTCCCACCGAGCACTTCGGTGCAATCAATCGACGGGAAAATTGTTGATTACCTGAAAGTGCATCAACTTTCTGTTTCCCATCTAATGATTAACGTGATCTCCGAAAAGCAATATTAAAAGACACTATTATTGTTGTTCAGTTACTAAAGAGGTTTAATAACATGGAGTGAAAAAGAAATTAATCGGATATTCCGGCAACTCATAATTGTGTTTCTTTATAAAACAATGTCTCATTATAATAGTTTTAGCCTGTCGGTCTAAGATTACCTTAAAACCATAACTTAGATTAAGTGGAGTAGTAGTTCGGCTTCCACACGTTTTAATACTGCAAAAGTGCCTTCATTGTTCAAATTTTACTCACTGGTTTTATTAAAATATATTACAGCAAGGAGTTAGCTGTTTGGGATGATATGAAGTGAATGTTAAAAATCATTATCCCTGTTGTGACTAAGATGATTTATTTTTCTGCTTGTGTTGAAATTAGCCGGTGACTTAAAGAGGTCCTAGCAGGCTGGTACTGTAACCAGTATCCTTGACATTCAAGTACACTTTTGGCCAAGTATTTTGGAATACAATTTGTTTTTTCAAGGTGATAACCGGTTACCTAATGCAAAAGTTGTCTGATAAACATATATGGTGACGGAATGTTATTTCACTCCTTCAGTTTAGTTTATGAATATCAAACTAAGTCAACAAAGCACCTCACCACACAGCAAGTCGATAAAAGCTGACCTAACAGAAATGAAGAAAATGTAACTTTAAGTATGGATATATAACACTTTTTGTTATTTGTTATCCACATACATCCCTTGGTAAAGTATAAGTGATGTTTTCTGCAATACTACTGGGATTTGAAAATATTACAGGTGAAATAGTCATAATTCATTTATTTTATCTCGGTAACGTAATGCTTCCTTTGGCTAGCTAGTGAAAAAGGCTTCCCTCAAAGTTATGAAATATGGCATTAAACCCATAAATTACAGTTCTATAGAACTATGTCAGCGCTTCATCAAACACATCCTCAATCACTCAGAAACTGAATTTCTTTTGAAATGACGTTGTCTAGATGGATAATGAAAGCATCGCCACTTGATCCTCTAGTTCAGGAAACGTCACTTTACCAGAATAGAATGATAATTAAGAAGAAAGATTCACATAACAGTATAGCTTATGTGGTGAGAGCTGGCTGTTAGTCAAAATTGGTAGACAGTAATTTACGTCAATGTTTATGTCCCAAATATTGGTCGTGAGTAAAATGAGAACAAAGGCTTTGCGTAGGCGGATACAGCTAACATATAGATGATCTGACATTCAAGAAACAGCCACAAAGAGATGCAAGGTTAACTTTCTTTGAGAAACAACCAATCAGAAGACTGTGTTTTTCTGCTAACAATAATCTATAATAATGAACATGAAAATCTGTAAATATGTGTTGATTACCTTACTAAAGCATCTGTTTCCTGGCCCTTGTCTTCTGTTGTTACACTTATATCTTCTTTTTCTCTGTTGCAGTATTAACTAAGGTTCTACGAAAACTACTGGACAAGAAGGCATGGAATTTCTGCAGGTCAAGTCAAAAGAAATTCTTTCGCTTGATTAACCTTGGGTCTTTCTCTTATGAATATCATATACAAGACAATAGTACTCAGCGTTTAGCTGATTCGTCCAATCCTTCTATTACCATTTTCTACTTAGTTGTTTATTTATGGTCAGTTCCAACAGGAGAATATTCAGCATGTTTAAGTGGTTCCGCAGTCGAGTAAGTATTAAACCTTATTTTCTAAAGCATTTGAGCCTCTGCACGGAGTATCATTAATTCACCTAGTATGACTTCACTATGTTATAATATTTTACAAAAGTGATGTATGTGAAATTGTAAGCAACTAAGTACTTTCAGTAATTTGCGTATAAATAAAAAGATATACAGTTTCCAAAAAAGTGAATGGAGTTTCTTTCTATTTTTCAGGAATTATATGCTAATACAATATATGTTAATACTTCTGCGATTCTCCTTTCTTTTCAACGGTCCTTCCAACCGGTTTTTCAATGACGAAATCTAACATTAACATTGTTTTCATCACGAATCAACATTATTTAGAGTGCCACTGAAAACTAAGGACTCTTCATCAGTGCATACTCTTGGTCAACCAGGGACCTGAAGGTCACTAGACGAAGTCGTTGACAGTTCAGACAAAATTTTGGAACTCATCAACTAGTGAATTCGAACATTTTACAACTTGTGATTTAGAGCCATCTCCATCCAGTGCCACTGGTGAGCATCCAACTCACCACAACATGATAGAGCCCACTGGTCACGACTTCTCATTTCAAAATCAGTACATCAACTCGATGGCTCCAAACAAATATAAAACCAGGACAGGACAGCTGTCCAGTACTTCCTGGTTATTTACGATCGATTAATTAACGCTGATTCGTGAAGGGATCTACGCTGAAATGAATCCAAATCTGTAGAAAACCTTGACATCACTTAGATTCTCATTGTACTAGCCTCTGTTATATACCATTTTAACAATAAGTTGTAACCAAATATTAGCGTCAGGGGTTGGTGTTACTTCATTTTTTTGGATGAAATCGACTTTGTGAGCCAATGGTATAGCACAAATAATCCCTGTTTGAACAGAAAAAGGAGAATTATTCCCTAACTTGGTATTCCAGAATCACTCTCGATACATTTTTTCCTCAGAATGGCAGTAGGAATGGTGCACACAAAGAAATATTTATCTGAAGTGGAAACACACATTGTTAACAAATATCTTACTGAATGGGAAGTCGTGTTTTCTCTGTTTCACTTTTATTCTCTATCCACCTCTTTAATAATATCATTTTCTTGAAGATCTGTCGCTCGAAGTAATTTAGTTCTTGTTTTTCAAACTTCATTATTTTTACCAAAATATATCTACTGAATTAAAACAAAGTGCAAACAAATGAAAGCAAATGTTGAAACCGAAAGGGAGAACTCTATCCTCATTTGCAAAATTTTGCAACATCTGAAATCCTTAGATGTTAATGAAGAAAGCCTAGTAAATTATTTACTCATACTCGTCAGAAAATTAGGAAAGTAAATTGTCGTCATACCAAATGAGACGTTCAGAATTTTATGAGATCTAGAGTACAGTATCAAGTGTAACTCTAGGAAACTGTAATCCGCTCTTTAGTTAGTTTCATGTTTTCTGGATGAAATATTAGGTTATTTATGACGCTTCAAACGGATTGTATGCTCTCAGATAGTTTTTTGTAGTGAGATTTTGCTTTCCTTGAAACTTATTTAGCCTGATCGGTTCATCGGGCTTGAAAGTACTCCAAAATTATTCATAGTCAAATTCATGTTGATCAACTGAACTCTAAACAAATTCTCTTTTCTGTCACATAATGTAGGGTTTCACTTCATCAATACTATTTACTCAGAGTTATCTTAATTAATTTCCCCAGCGGTTACCTTGCGAATTCCCTTCTTTTGTCTACCTCTTACTTTATTTTAACCTAGTGTTAGTGTAGTTAGGCTGTTGAAACTCTTTGTCCCACTAGGAACCTAAAGCATGAATAATAATATTTGAATTAATATCACCTAGCTGATTAGCTAATAGTTAAAGACGCATAGATCACATCTAATCGTCTTGAAATTTTCGAAGATTTTTTACAACATTTACGTTTCTGTTAGAATGAACTCAATATCTTGACTTGTTTGTCCCAAAACAAGCAAACAGATCTAAAAGCATAATTCTGACAGAAAATCTGCAACCTGTTGTTTTCGACAACACCTATCTATTATGTAGGGTAGGCAACTGTGAAGTGCATGTCACTAGAAAGCATTATTTTGGAACCTCGTTCATCAGGCATAACACTGGAGTAAATTTATAAAACTGACATCAGTCCAACCACCATTAAATAGTTGTCTTAGTATTTAGTGTTTTCAGAAAAATATTATCTAGAGATCTCTGAAACTAGACTAATATAGGGTCAGTGTGTCTTGTTCTGTACTCATATCTTATGCAAAACTCTTTTTTCATTTGACACAGACTTTTGTATGCTATAAACATTGCTTCACGTGGGATGCTGATTTCACTGGTTTACACTACATATTACATGCTTATTATAATTTCTTGATAAATTACATTCAGATACTACCGAATTACTAGAGATAATCGTAATTACCAAAAGCTCAACGTTTGTTATCTGCTTAAGATTTCTGGATTTACAGACATAAAACTGAGAGCATGCAAATTTAATTTAGCTAGTAAGATAAACTGAAATTGCAGTGTAGATTTCCTCACAAACTGATTGATATCAGTTAGAAAATCACTGAAAACAAAAGGTGACCGGACAGCAGAGCTGAAAAGTCTTTAAGTAGGTCTCTATTCAATGATTTTCTAAATTTGTGTCAGTATCTGATGAAATTTACGTTGAATCTGATGAAAGCCTGAAGAATTCAGCATCTCAATGGAGTGAAATTACATGAAAATCTTACCCTAACTTAGATGATTCAGGTCATATTTAGTATTTTTAAAGAAAATCTCTTTAAATATTTCATCATTTTTTTTCACTTCTTAGTTCATGTAATGAAAATGTGCAAATCAGTAACCTACTCGATATACACAGAAAAAGACTGTACGAAGTGTGTAGATTACAATATTTGTCTGACTGTAACAAATTCTATGAAGTGAGTTTTCTATCAGATTGAATATTTTGCAAATAACTAATTAACTTGAAGATAACTTATTGATTTTATCATTCACTTTTATGTCTCTGAGTTGTGAGTGGAACACAGGGATCCAATTTTGAGGTTTGAAATTTCACTGGTAGGGTTGCTAGCCTCAAACTTAACCTTCCTTCTATGTAAACTAAGAAAGCTTCGGGAGTGCGTTGGTCACAGATCTGACCTCAGAGCACGTGCGTATTTGGCAAGTATTCTACCAGTGAACCAGTGATGTAGTGAAGATTACTTATCTAAAGTGAACATCTTAGTCGAACAGCGTAAAATTTCAGTTTCATTTTATTTCGTTGTGCTACAACATTCCTTGCTCACAACTCTCCGAGCGTTCACGCTGAAGAGAATCTTGTTTTATAATAAGCGTTTTAATTAAATTGGTTGATCATATTACATTTTTGTAATTTCATATCAGAAGTTGTTATGCACCACACTCTTAACCTCACGGATTTCACTACTTACAGCTTTTCAACCCTGCCTAAGATGTTTGGTCAAAATTCGTGACATGGAAGGTGATTTTACTTACATGTCAACACCAGCTGCAAAGTTAATCTCTCGAATGCTAGCTTCTATTCTTTCAGTATTTACGAAGTGATTTTTCTAAGTGTTCACTAAAATGTATATCTTGCTGTACTAAACTCCATAACCAATAGCAGTCCAAATGATAGTCACTGATAACCAAATAAATAGTGATTTCCTTAGAATATTTAAACCGTCTTCAGTCATAAACATGTAGGTCTACAATGGAGCTCAAAATGTTTTGTTATCACAATAACCCAAGAAATATACTAATACACATAGATATAACAAGGAAAACCGTATTAGGTATGAATTTCATGTTAACAGACATTCCATAACATGAAATATTTGGCTCAAATAATACGTCAAATTTCCATTAGAACTAATATCAAACAAAGAACTAATGAAAATTAGAGAAAACGGAACGTCTGCTTCACTCGCCAATATGTTTTATTCACCTGAAATAAAGAGCTCAGTGTTTATAAATAACACTGTTCACTCTATATAATAATCTTGGCGTTATTATGGCCTTTTAATGGCTTGTAGTTGCTTAACAAGTGAAGGACAAATTTTTAGAATGAAGCAGAGAAATATGTCACATCGGGGATGGTGTCCAATGATAAATATATTGACAATAGACTTCCAGAGCCTTGTCTAAATTCTGTGATAGGTAGGATCCCTTAAGTTGACTGTGTATAAGATTACTAATGCGCGACGTTTTTGATTAATCATGGTGCATAATAAATCCTTAGAATTGGCCCCCTTCCGACATACTGGTACTTTCCCTAAAACAAGGAGGTTTCGAAACCACTACATATGGAATGGTAAAAAGAGAATGCTGAACAAAATCATACTTAAAGGAAAGAATTATATAGTACTGGTTAGTTTTCATCGTCAGTTGGTGTCACAAATCTACTTTCAAACCAGTTAAATTGGAAACGCTAATGCCATATTTAATTGTTTCTAATTTGGCTTGTAGCTATTATGTAATTAATCTTTCTGAATTTGTTGTTTCTTTAAATTTACAATTTCTCTTAATTATTTCTAGATTTTTCATAGAGAACTTGCAAATTTCAGTTGTATTGAGAGTAAAACAGGTCTATTTGAAAACATTGCAGACAGCCTAAAGAAACTCATCAACTTTGACAGGTAAACAGTATCAAAAATTTTGTACAATTATATTTACTATTAGTTAATTAGAAATGAGGTTTTTCGGAATAATCATCAAAAATGAATTCAAAATAATACTATAAAAGACAACTAGTTTCACGAATAAAATCGTTTGATTTCTTTAAGATTTTTTGACGTGAAGAATTTTTTAACAGTAAACCATATGATGTCTTTGAATAGTGACGATTTTGAATTTATTCTCATTGAAATTTCTGACTACCAACTCTAATTTTGAATGTAAGAGAACTATTTACTAAACTTCTATATGGAGAGAATTGCAGTTTCTGTTTCTGCCTTGCAATTATTTTCTTAAACATTCATTAGTGAGTTAAAGCTCTTTCAACCATATACTATAAGTTAACGTAATCGCATAACGCCTCTTTGGTCTCTACAGATTATTATGTGATCATTACTTTGTCAACTGAGTGATTAAGCTTGAATGTCTTGCACATTTACCAAACCTGCAGTCAATAAGCCTATGTTTGAAAACATATTTTGTTTTCACCAGTGATATATATATATATGCGTGAGAGTTCGTCTTGAGGATGAGTCACTGATTGTCTTCCAAATCAACTTCTACACTGGTTTAGGAGTAGTGAATGTGGGCCTCGCCTTCACGATCCTGGAATCATTCGACATCCTCATCTATGGTACCTGTAGTTGAAATGATTCCGCCAAGGGGAGTTCAGCAGCTGACTTCCTTTAGATTTCTCACACTGATAATGATCATGCTACATATGTTGTATTTCTTCTCTGTGATCACCTGAAGTCCTGTTTTAGCTTCCCTTCCTGCCAGCACGTCGGTTTCCTAATGCAAATTTTCGCGTTTGGGCAACATGGGATATAAATTGCCTATGAAATCTAGATTAAAAGATTATGCTTTAATAAATATCCATTATTTTTTAAAGGCATGTTACTGCAACTTTCCAAGACCAGTTTTCATAGACTAAGTCTACTACAATTCATGTTTTTGTAGAAACAAAGTATAAAGGTGTAGATTATCATTTGAATGGTGACTCGTGTTGTGAGCTAATTAAAAATGATAATCAAAATGCATCTGAGTCATCTAAAACGCACATAGTGCGTGAATGGCTCATTTGTTATACATACGACAGCTTTATAGACTGAATCTGGTATGAATTTCTAATTTCTATAAATCGCTATACTCAGATGCATCAACATTTTCCTAGACAATAGATGCGTTATCGGTGCGCTGAGCATACAAAATATCGTTTTGAAAAATTAAATTCGCCGTATGCTTTTGTTTACGTCCAATAATTTACTTATATAGCATATTTACAATTTGCTTCTTTTCTCACCCAAATGGATATGAACCATAAAACATGGAAATATTTTTTAAACATTCTCCAGCATTTCAATTTATCATTTTGATAAAGCTGAACAAGAATGGATAGAAGAACTGAACCAATATCCATTAAAAATTCAAGTAAGTACACTAATTGCTGCTTTTCACTTTCTCTCCAATTCGAGTTTATTGTAGTCAAAAAGTATTCACTTTGCATGTTGAACATGTACTGCTTCTTGATAACAAGACAGTTCTTCTCTACACATTTTTGAATAGCAGATCCCTGAGTTCCAAGCCACATGGTACGACTGGTGTATAATTAAAATCTATGGGTTTGCAATGAAATGAAATGAATGTATTTTTAATACCTTAGTACTTTTGAGTGACAGAATGTGTTGCAATATTGTCTAGTTGAATACTGATGTTATAACTATAACTGAAAGTAGATTAATTTTAAGAATTCTTAAATGATACTGTAATCTCTATATGTTCAAGGGTAACGGAGTGGCAGATTTCATTAATTTTTGTTTGCCTAAAATAATCTACCGAAACTTTTCCGCAGAGATCGCCTATAGACAACATTTTCATTTATAAAAGACATGGTTTCACTCCATAGACATGCATGTGGAAGCGCATGTTAGATGTTCAGTCACTGAATATTGTAAAACCAATCTGAAGTGTCATTAGTGAATAACCACAACTATTTTTTGGAGTATCATTTTTCATCTATATGTGGTCAAAACGAAATGGCAGTTGAATTCATGTACTATTGGAGAAATTCATTTCTGTGTGAAAATCTCTGGCAAAAACATGCAAATTATTTTTAGGCACGCTATGCTTAATAAATTATTTTAAGCGTAAAATTTCATATTAGATAAGTTTATTCAATATAACAAACTTAGATACAGAAATATTGTGTTCACATGGATTTTCGAATAAAAAATTGTGCTTGAAAAGTTAAACATTAACAAAGTCATTATGAATCACGAAAAATGGATAGTCATGTAGCCCTGTGCTTTAGGTAGGCTGCCAGTAACATCATCATAGTTCATTTTGTTCGAGCTTTCTCGTCAGCAGTTCGATATAAATTCCACGAGAAATATCCTACATATTCGATATATTAGAAAACATGAACATTGCCTAGATATAAGTTCAATAGTTTTTAAGATCAGTATTCAGCCAGTGAAAAAGAAGTTTGAGCTCAAAACCTCAAAAAAGATGAAGAACAAAAACTGTATTTGGTGCTTTATATGTAAAAAAAGATTACTTATAGCGATTTCCTCACATTTTAAGTTTTTCGCTCGAATTACTTCTGCGCTGAATAAATTTAAATGACTGGAAATGAATTAATTTACTCTAAAGACTTGTTAAATAAAAGTAGATAGTTACTCTATTAATATTGGGTTGCATATTTAATCTAATGACTTAACTTTTAATCTCAAATCATGTGGTGTAAACACTACTAAAATTGACAAAATCTAGCTAATCTCATCAAAGTTTTCGTGACTAACTTGTTATGTGAAAGGCACTCTGCTAGGTAAGGTGTTAAGGTATGATTATTCTGACCGTTAAAGATAGCTTTAACCATTCGTAGATTAAGTGCGATATTTTCCGAAAAACTCCACATCATTGTGTAATGTAAGAGTTTACACTTTATTAAGAGTAGAAGTGTAGTTATACGAGTTTACTTCAGTACTGAATCTTATCAGCAATCAGTCAGACAACTAATAAGTGTAATTCGGTCGAATAATACGTATTTAGTGTAAATATGCAATCTCTGAGGTAATACTCACCGAATTTCAGTTTTTTCACTGTTGGTTTTTCGAGAAGGAACAAGCTACGCAACTCCATATTCCTAATATTATCCACTTTTATGACGAAACTTCTAACACTGTAAAAAGTAAAGGATAGAAAGAAATTGATGAGGTTGTGAAAGCAGATAAATTCAGCATTATTGTCAAACATATTTACACGTGTTTGTTGTGTTATTTGGTCAAACTATTCATTTCGTCGTACTCCTTCGGTAAAACATAGGAGTTCAAATCTGTCATGATGTGAAGCTATAAAATCCGTAATCTCAATCCAAAAAAGGTCTTACCCATATTTAGTTTTTCATATCATTGACTAGCAACGGTAAAAGTGAACCGTAGAAAATAATAGGCTTCCGTCTGAGATTTGAACCGGTATCACCGAGTCCCGAAGTAAGGCGACCCACCAGTATCTCTACTGTGGCCAAATGCAGCTCTGTTTCTATCACTAGGTGGATCGATATTCTCGAATGTGGCAGAGTTCTATTGTCCATTTAAACCAGCTTCTTACGTAAATATATGAAATTTTCATGCTGAGCATTTTATGACACTTCTTAAATCGCTAAAGCATTCTAACGACTTAATTCACATTAAACTAAAGGTTAGTGACTTCGTTATTTGTATGAATAAATTAGGCACACTTCTGATTCAATTTTCCTTTTGGAAGACATTACAAGCTAATTCGGAATACGGATGGAATTAATTTGTTTAACAATGAAAATGAAACCTATGGATATTTAGTTTTATTAGAAATTAATATTTGTTGAAGGAATAGTGTTCATTTTAACTCAAGTGCATAAGTAAGGATTCTGTACTGTATAAAAGATTTGAGCAAGTATAATGAAACCTACTAACGTATGTTCAGATTTCAGTAAATGGCTGCATCATCAGACAACAATATAGTTATTTACTCCTAAAGTTAACAAGGTTATGACAGTATCTCCTTTATGTTTGCGAACACAAGTTTCCACCTTTAGGACTAAATATGTATTCTTAACAGTTTCCCATTTTTATTAATGTAGAGAAAACACATCTTATCAGATGGGTTTCAGTGACATTATATGGAGTTGTTTTGACAATCCAACAGGGTTAGCTTCTGGTTAAAGTATTCCTTGGACAGTGAGCATGTAAAAACACAGTGTTGCACACGGATGAGTTGTCCTGCATATTTCAGTCACGTGATATCAAAATGTCATACAATTGAAATCTTATCGTGATCAGCTCAGAAGTCTAGTCTGTCTGCTACACTGCTACTAGACAGAACAAACAACATATGAACCAGGGTTTGAAAACCAGCAGTAATTCGAAACGTTCATTCACACTGGGACTCCACTGAGTAAATATGTGTAAGAATAGTTGATTATATGCATATTTTAGCAGCTATGCTGCTATTCATTGGTGGAGTTTCGATTTCTATAAGAATTATCTTAATTTCTTCCCTGATGAGCATTTATTGTGATATGTTCTCATGGTGACTTGCAGAGAATCTTATCAGACAAACAATGAGGATACTGAACTAGTTCCATACTAATATCTGTGTTCCACACTGTGACTGGATTATTATTTGGACGAAACTCACCTAAAAATTTAGTCATTGTGTAGCAACAGAAGGTAAGACACGGAAGCCAAGGTATATTTTCCACTGATCAAACAGCTATTTATATCTATACAGTTTATATTCTTTAACCAATCATTTAGTGTGTGATTTTGGCCTACATTAAACGACATGAAATAGAATGTTCAAATATACGTAGTATTCTGTTGCAAATGCGGTATATAACTGTGGGAAAAGTATTCTGTCTCTAACATCAGCTAGAATGTTCAAATGGATATATCGTATTCTGTTGGTAATGCTGAATTGAACTGTGGAAGTATGTGAGAATAATATTCCCTTGACATACACTGTCTGTATAACACCACCACAATTGTACTGATTACTAACCTCGTTCTCCTTAAATGTGTTTTTGTTATGTTGTTAAAAAATCCAACAGTTAAAAATGCTATCAAGTTCTGTTAGGGTCAATTTCAACATCAGGTTCTCTCTCATTTTTCCTCTGATTTGCTCTACTTTTCACTTCTATATCCAAAGCTATGCATATTCCCACACTGGAATTATCAGGCTAACTGCTTTTAACTGTTTTTCCTTATTTTCGGAGTTGTGAATATTTTATTGGGGTTTTTGACAGAACTTTAGTTTTCGTCATCTTATGCTTGAATCTCGAATTCTTTAGCAAGGAACTGATTTGTTTGTAACACAATACTAGCTTTCAAACCCGTTTTTGAATTTATTAAGGTTTATAAATGAAAGGAAATAAGTGAAACTTGGTCTGTTCACTTCCCTGCTACGTTGTGGTAAAGTAGTGAAATTTCATATCTCCTAGTAGTTGACTGTTACTGACAACTATTAAACTTCACATCGTATAACTTTATTACTTCCTTTTCACAGTAGTTAACCTTCGTATAATTACTGCAATTACTACTTGTACGTTATATACTTTGGAGATATGAGGTGTAGTTAATACAAAGACGCACTAAATTGAGTCATTAATAAAATATACCGGAGGGCAAATCAATCCTTCACTGTGTGTCATCTAGGTATTCTTTCTACACGTACCAACTGGGTACACAGCAAGAGACCTAGTGCATTGCTTTCCTTTGTTTCCTTAGCTTTCAGCTTTTATGAAGTCTGTGCATTGAATTTATGTGAAATATAGTTCAGTACAAAGCTTACCTATTTTTAGTTAATTCATGTTCACTGTAAGAATGAAAAATAAAACATTTGTTCATTCTGTTGTCAGTAGTTACTCTTTTGGATTTTACTTTCAGATTTGCATTTTTTGCAGTTCGACTTTCCCGGGTACATGAGATATTGGTCATCTGACACACAAATTCATTGATTAAGCTCATTGTTGACGAGTTCACTCGTTGAATAAATATAAGATGCTGCAAATTTAAAAGGTGAAACAATATCGTATCATGCAAATATAAATACATATAAAACCTGAAAATATCTTGAAGACTTAACTTTTTGCTAACTTAACAACAAAAACACACTAAATATGATGGGGATGTATAGCTCAGGTGGATGATTTTGATGTGCTTGTGCTCTCTGAGCTGGATAGTTGATTTGCGAAGCTTTTAGAGCTTTTAGATTTCTCCACGAGTTTATTAGTCATCTCTCCTGGTGACCTTGAACGTGATTGCTTGTCTTTGTGTGTTTTCACACCCTCTAGGCTACTTGTATTGGAACTGATTGTTTCCTTGACTTGAACTTTGACCCTCTGTGTGTGACATTTCCTTCTAATCAGTTGGTAAATTTTATGTAAGCCAATG